ATTACGAACGGTTGTGTCTGAGCTCTATCAATCTCTAACCTGACCATCTAGCCTTATGTCCGCGGGTGTTGTTGGTTGGCTGCCTTCCCTCTGGTCACTTGTTTAAAATTGCGGACAAATATGGTTAAATTATACGAACGTATGACCTGACCATTTAGCCACTGTGCACATAAGGTGCTATTGCCATTCAAATTGAAAATTGCAATTCTACTCTTGGTGCGAGATTAAGTAAGTATCGTTGGTCACTGCGTTAAAGTAAGTCACGAGATCTACATTCATTTTAGAACAAACTGTAAGAATAATGAAGGTTGATTCAAACCAGAACGGATAATATTTGTTGTCGTGGATACGAGTCCAAATGCTTTCTACATCTCCTCACTCCTCTGTTTACAATACGGATTCTGGGTGTTCATTGAAGTTATAATATTTATTAACTATCGTAAAGATTAATCTCCAGTTATCTTCTGACGTTTTAATATTAACGTGAAACTTTTCATACCTGAAATAAAATTGTTTGAAATAAGGTAACAAAAGTGTAGTTTCTAAAACCTTATGGATTAAGGGGTCGTTCGCAAATTTCTACTGTTGGTAGATAGATACTGAGGGTGGGGGTGTTCACTGCTGGTAGATAGATACTAAGGGTGGGGGTGTTTACTGTTGATAGATAGATACTAAGGGTGGGGTGTCTACTGTTGGTAGATAGATACTAAGGGTGGGAATGTCTATTGTTGGTAGATAGATCCTAAGGGTGGGGGTGTCTACTGTTGGTAGATAGATACTAAGGGTGGGGGTGTTTACTGTTGATAGATAGATACTAAGGGTGGGGTGTCTACTGTTGTTAGTTAGATACTACGGGTGGGGTGTCTACTGTTGTTAGTTAGATACTAAGGGTGGGGGTGTTTACTGTTGTTAGTTAGATACTAAGGGTGGGTGGGGGTGTTTACTGTTGGTAGATAGATACTACGGGTGGTGTGTGTGTTTACTGTTGATAGATAGATACTAAGGGTGGGGTTGTCTACTGTTGGTAGATAAATACCAAGGGTGGGTGTCTACTGTTGGTAGATAGATAATAAGGGTGGGGGTGTTTACTGCTGGTAGATACATACTAAGGGTGGGGGTGTTTACTGCTGACAGATAGATACTAAGAGTGAGGGTGTTTACTGCTGATAGATAGATACTAAGGGTGGGGGTGTTTACTGTTGGTAGATAGATACTAAGGGTGGGATGTTTACTGTTGGTAGATTGATACTAAGAGTGGAGGTGTTTACTGTTGGTAGATAGATACTAAGGGTGGGTGTGTCTACTGTTGGTAGATAGATACTAAGGGCGGGGTGTCTACTGTTGGTAGATAGATACTACGGGTGGGGATGTTTACTGTTGGTAGATAGATACTAAGGGTGGGGGTGTTTACTGTTGGCAGATAGATACTAAGGGCGGGGTGTTTACTGTTGGTAGATAGATACTACGGGTGGAGGTGTTTACTGTTGGTAGATAGATACTAATGGTGGGGTGTTTACTGTTGCAGATAGATACTAAGGGTGGGGTTGTTTACTGTTGATAGATAGATACTACGGATGGGGGTGTTTACTGTTGTTAGATAGATACTACGGATGGGGGTTTACTGTTGTTAGTTAGATACTAAGGGTGGTTGTTTACTGTTGATAGATAGATACTACGGGTGAGGGTGTTTACTTTTAGTAGATTGATACTACGGGTGGGGGTGTTTACTGTTGTTAGTTAGATACTAAGGGTGGGGGTTTACTGTTGTTAGTTAGATACTAAGGGTGGGTGGGTGTGTTTACTGTTCGTAGATACATACAAAGGGTGTGGGGGTTTACTGTTGTTAGTTAGATACTAAGGGTGGGTGGGTGTGTTTACTGTTCGTAGATACATACAAAGGGTGGGGGGGGGTGTAGACAAGCCAACAATAACATAGTAATATTCCTACAATAAATAATTACATTAAAATGTTGTTTGTTTTAGTGTAAAATTATATGTGCTCCTTTCACCACGGATAATCGAAACCCGGGTTTTATCATTGTAAGTCCTTAACTTACCGCTGACTGACTGGGGGATCATTTTATCTGTATAATTAAAATACCAAAGTGTGTGTGTGTGTGCGTGGGAAGCTTTAACTTCATTAAATCAAGCAAAAATAAAATTTGGGATAAGGAAGGACAAACAATGTCACCATATACGTAAGGGAGGGGTGGGCGTAGATAGTACTATGTATTGCAAGAGGAAAAGTATTTGGGAAATGTATATGTCATTCCTCAGATCCCCATCTCAGACAGCAGTGTTTGTGTGTGGGAATTTGTTTCATTTAAAGCACCGGTGCCGTCACCAGGTTTCTAAAGCGTCAGTAAATACGGTGTCTCCTACTGACTAAGTCAATCAGCCTGTCAATTTTAGTCACAGTATTCGGCTCAAAGTGTCTTTTGTACTAGAGGTGTTTAGTGGGTATCACGTGTCGAGGACTAGATGTAACTCTCTTCGGTTTAACTTCGTAGTTATGAGACGCCCCGCACAGCCATCAGGTTCGTTCAGAACTATATGCCTAACTTCATACATCTAAATACAAAATACCACAACCAAAAAAAAATGACTAGTAGATAGCAAGTGCAGCTAGCTCTGTGTATACGATTACTTTACTGTTACTCTGGCAACACGAAACCTTTTTCTACGCCACCACCATCAACAGTGGCTTAATGGTAAGTCTGAGGGCTTATGCAGTTAAAAACCTGGTTTCGATACCCGCGGTGGGCAGAGTCAGATAGAGCATTATGTTATAGCTATATGCTTTACACGTTGTGATAGTTGCTAAAAAGATACAAATGACTTTAATAATTGGCTATAAAAACACTGAATCTATAAACAAAAGTATATTATTTTGAATAGAGAGTCAGCTACAAATCTAACAACCTGTTGAGGGTGTGGGTGGGTCGAGAAAGAGAGTAGTCTTTCCACTTTATGATAAGGTTGATAGGACCCTACTCCACCATTTTCAATACATATAAAATCATGAATACCTTGCTAGTTGTATTTAGGTTGTAAACTATGTTCATTTCTGGTAAAGAACTGGTTTTTCACCTACAGTCATTTTATTACATGTCATTGTGTCACGGTTTGAAGACAGAATTTGCCTTGTTAACCCTTTAAATCAGAACAGTGTTAGAGTGAAAACCCAATTACTTATAAGTTCATGAAGGTTTTATTTACGTTTCACTTCATTCCTTTTGTTCTTTTACCATACCAATGGTTCTTGTGTTCTATTTACCATAAGATTAGTACGTTCTTCTACTCTATCTACCACAATAGTACGTTCTTCTACTCTATCTACCACAATAGTACATTCTTCTACTCTATCTACCACAATAGTACGTTCTTCTACTCTATCTACAACAATAGTACGTTCTTCTACTCTATCTACCACAATATAACGTTCTTCTACTCTATCTACACCAATAGTACGTTCTTCTACTCTATCTACCACAATAGTACGTTCTTCTACTCTATCTATCACAATAGTACGTTCTTCTACTCTATCTACACCAATAGTACGTTCTTCTACTATATCTACCATAATACTACGTTCTTCTACTCTATCTATCACAATAGTACGTTCTTCTACTCTATCTACCATAATAGTACGTTCTTCTACTCTATTTACCACAATAGTACGTTCTTCTACTCTATCTACACCAATAGTACGTTCTTCTACTCTATCTACACCAATAGTACGTTCTTCTACTCTATCTACCACAATAG